GATTAGGCAAAAAGATGACAATATTCGACAAAAAGATGACGAGATTCGACAAAAAGATGACAATATTCGACAAAAAGATGACGAGATTCGACAAAAAGATGATGAAATTCGGCAAAAAGATGGCGAGATTCGGCAAAAATATAAGGAAATAATGCAAAAGGATAAAGAAACATTGCAAAATAATGCAATAATTAAGCAGAGAGAAGAGGATATACAAAAACAAAAACTAGAAATTGAATCTTTTGAAAATCAGCTTGGTAAAAATTTTTTTAGTATTCTCTTAAATATTAATATTATATTTTTGTGATCGTTAATAGCTTTGTTTATTATTGTATTACAGAAGAGACTACAATATTTGTAGAAGAAGCACAACAATTAATTATAAAGTTTTCAGAAAGTATAGTAAAAAAATCAAACAATTAAAATTTGATATAATTTATTACTCTTTTAAGCTTATTAGATTTTGTAGCTTATAAATTTTTTTTATCTAAAATAGAATATATTTTTTTTATCAAAATAGAATATTGTTATTTACTACTTTAAAAAGTTTGCTTTATAGATTAAAAAAAATTTTTTTTAAAAAAACATTTTGCTTAAAAATTAATTATTTTTATTTTAATATTAGTTAAATATATAACAATTTATTATATTTGTTAAGGCTATTTTTTTGGCTGATTGAATTTTATTAATTTGTAATTGCAGAGTTACTGTATTAGTAATTTTCTAAGGTTTTATAGTTACATGATGAGTGTACAACAAGCCATATATACAACTTTAGTTATTGTTTAATTTAAGTAGTTCACCATATAGATGATTAACTATCTGTTGGTTCTACACTATACTGCTATACCTGCAACCTGCCTATAAGTTACCTATTTAAACATTTTGATCATTAACCCTTTCCTTTATTCAAACTAAAGTCACTACTATATCTGACTGCTTAAGCTAGCTAACTTACTCATAGATCCATTTACCATATGACTTAGATTCTCTTAGGATATGTATTATCTAATATATTATGAGTATGCAGAGCTTCAGTTAACCTCAGAAATGATTCCTACTAGTATAGTCATATGTTTATTTCACTGATTCACTTGGATTGAACTTTTGTTGATATTTGTATAAATCTAGTTCCTACTATAGCTCTTTACCAGATATAGTCCTCTGAGATTTTAGATGTTTCATGAAGTAGATCTTCCTAATTTAGTTAGCTGCCAAGCCAAGTTGATGTTGCCACTAATGCAAGACACTAGGCTACATTATATAGCAGACTTACTCACACCTATTAATCTTATATTTTCATACTTAGGTTTTTCACTGAATCAAATATTAACTGGCTTGACTATTGAAATCTATACTACTTTACCAAACTTGGAATTTTTACCATACAAGTCCTCTGCCTGTAGATTCTATTAAGATTTATTCATGCAACATAACTTGAATATTGAATTATACTTCTAATATCTGATTGATATTAGTGTAATGTGATTTACAGAGTTGTAACCCCTAGAAACAAACAGAATTTACTATAAGTTGAGTACAAAGGTCCAAGTAATTATTCAAATTTATCAACAGTAGAATTTGAATCTCAGACCTCTTGCATAGCAGTCTGACAATCTAATTACTATACTAAGATCACCAGACCTTATATAACAATTTATTATTAAACAAATAGTAAACTAATATGCTATAGATTAAAGTTAATAGTTTAAAAAAAGTAATTTATTAATTAAATATTGATTATTTATTAGTAATTAATCTTTTTGACATAATATTTGCTAAGAATCTAATTTTTATAAATAAATATTTAAAATTTTACATATATAAAAAATAAATAAAGGGTCTAGTAATCTTAGTATAGTAGTTAGGTTATCAAACTGCCATGCAAGAAGTTTAGAGTTCAAATTCTACTATCAATGAATTTGAATAATTACTCAGACCTTTGTATCTAACTTACAGTAAACTCTGTCTGTTTCTAGAGTTGTAACTCTGTAAATCATATTGTACTAATATTATCTGAATATTAGAAGTGTGACAAGATGTTGGCAAGATGTAATATTATATGAATAAATCTTGATAGAATCTACAAGCAGGGATCTGCATAGTAAAAATTCTGAGTTGGTAAAGTAGTACAACTTTTAATGATTACACTAGCTAACACTTGATCCAGAAAGAAAACTATTATCAAAAGATGCAGATTGAGTCAAGTGCATATAAATTCATTTTACAGAGAGAATCAGTAATACTAATCTGGCTTAGTAGCTAACTAGATTAGGTGAATTTGCCTTATAAAATATCTGAGAAAATAGAATACAAAAAACTAATAGAGAGGTCTAGCGATCTTAGTATAGTGGTTAGGTTGTCAAACTGCCATACAAGAGGTCTGGGGTTTAAATCCTACTGTTGATGAATTTGAATAATTACTTGGACCTTTGTACTCAACTTACGGTAAACTCTGCCTGTTTCTGGGGGTTACAACCCTGTAAATCATGTTGCACCAATATCAATCGGATATTAGAAATATGACACAATATTCGAATTACGTTGCATGAATAAAACTTGATAGGATCTATAGGCAGAGGATCTGCATAGTAGAAATCCTGAGTTTGATGAAGTAGTACAGATTTCGATAGTCAAACTAGTTAATACCTGATCCAGTGAAAAACCTGAGTACGAAGAATGTGAGATCAATAGGTGCGAGTAAGTCTGCTATGTAATGCAGCCTAGTGCCTTGCATTAGTAGTAATATCAACTTGGCTTAACAGCTAACTAGAATGAGAGGATCTACCTCGTGAAACATCTAGTTGAAACTTGAAAGACTATATTTGGTAGATAGCCACAGCAAGAACTAGGTTTGTACGAACATCGACAAGAGTCTAATTCAGATGAATCTGTGAAATGAGTACATGACCACTCTAGTAGGAATTACTTCTGAGGTTAACTAGAGCTCTGCAGCTTACAATACATTAGGCATACATATCCTGAGAGGATCTAAGCTATGCAGAGAATGGATCCACAGATGAACCAGCTGGCTTAAGTAGTTGGTCATAGTAGTGACGTTAGTTTGGGATGGAGGGAAGGGTTAATGATCAGAGTGTTTAAATAGGTAACTCACAGGCGAGTTGCAGATATAGCAGCATAGTGTAGAACCAACAGATGGTTGATCATCTGTATAGCAGACTACTTAAATTAGACAATAACTAAAGTTGTACATGTAGCTTGTTGTACACTCATCATGTAACTGTAAACCTTAGGAAACTGTTCATGTGATAGTTCTGTAATAACAAACTAATAAAATCTAATCAGCCAAGGAAGTAGCTTTAATAATGCAAAAAACTAATAGAGAGCCATAGTAGGAACTAGGGTTGTATGAATATCCACAAGAGTTTAAGCTAGATGAATCTATAAAATAAGTATAGACCACTCTAGTAGGTATGCTTCAAGGTTAACCAGCTCTACAATACTTATAATACATTAGATACAAGATATACTGAGAGAACCTAAGCTATTCTGAATAAATAGATCTGTAATGAGCTAGTTAGCTTAAACAGTTAGGTGTTGCAGTAATGTTAGGTTAGATCTGTATAGGTTAATAAATAGAGTATTTAAATAGATAACTTACAGGTAGGTTACAGGTATGGTAGTATAGTGTAGAACTAATCAGATAGTCTAATTACCTGTGTAGCAGACTACTTAAAATAGATAATAACTAAAGTTGTATATATAGCTTGTTGTACATTCTTCATGTAATTACAAATAGTAGAGACTATCAATAGATATCCTATATGCAATTCTAATAAAATTCTTTCAGTAATATAAGCTGCTTTAATAACAAAAAAATAAATAAAAAATAAATAAATATAATTTAATAATTGTAATATAGTTAAATATAAAAAAAAAAAAATATTTATCTTTTATTTCTTTTAACTTAATCACTTATTTTTTACTTTTCATTCTTATATTTCAAATATTTATTATACTAAATATAATACTATATTTTAGCAAAATATTTATTAATCTAGCAAGTATTTATTTAGTTTTAAATAATTATTCAGTTAAGCTTTTATTACTTTATAAATTCTAAACTAACAAATCATACAAGTTACTTGCTATTTGTTCTACAAATAAAACTATTTATTATTTTAGCTAATAAATATAAAAATAGTTTTATTTATATAGTAAAATTAATTAATTATAATTAAAATTATCTAATATTTACACAAATATTTAAAGCATATAGATCATATCTTATTAAATACACTATACTATTAATTGATATATAGCTATACTTAAGTTTTATAATATTGTAAACTATATTCACTCAGAAATAGAAGCTAAAACATCATATATGATAGCTTGAAGAAGTAAAACTGCTAATAAAAAACATAAAGCAAAGAAAATAAATTAAACTACTACTTGATAATTTACTTATAGCAAATCCTAGAAGTATTACTTTATTTGAAGTTGATAATGAAAATTGATTTGTTTGTATATTTCTTTATTAGATACTATAAATAAAGACTACTGAATACTGTAAACCTATCTTTATTCTCAATATATATCATTCAAAATCAAGCTATAATAATATATATTTTTATGCAAATATAATTGAAAATGATAGTAAATTTGTTCTTGTAGTATTTGCTATTAGACCCGTTGAGAATTCAAGTCATTGGGTATAGTTTTATGAAAATCCAAATATAGCACTTTTATTAATTAATACAAATGAATATGTAACTATAAGTAACTATAAAAAGGTATTCTGTATTACTTTACTAATTTGTTATATACAATTTATTATGATTATATAATAACGACAAAAACCGTAATTGTTATGAAACTGTTGCTACAAAATTATGACTGCATCTCTAGGTTGATCTTTAACTGTATATCGATATTAAAGATAATAGAGTGTAATTTCAACCAAGCTGTATTTTGCGCATAAATCCTATATTGGGTATCATATATAACGATAAAAACTGATTTAAGTTATTCTCCTTGATGAGTTTACCGAATTATCTGATTGGTTAAAAAATTGAAAAAAACCTGGAGTTGCGATCACCAATTTTTTTTTTTTTTTTTTTTTTTAATAGAGCTGAGCTGATTGGCAAAATTTAAATTTCGCATTTCGCACAATAAATTTTCAGCATATTATTACAAGAAACATTTCAATTAATCGCAATAATCAATTCAACTAATGGGCAACATCTCGATCACTTTCAAATCACATTGAGGGTGTTGCCCTTAGACTCCTCAACAGTGTTGCCAATATGGACATTCGGACTAATTAAATAATATGGACAAAATATGGATATAGTAATTTTTTGACATGGACATATAGATTTGGACATAGTCCAAATTTTTATTAAATATGGACATATACCAAGTTCCAACAATGTTCCTCAAAGTCTTGCAAATAGTGAATCGAAAATCGAATAATCGATTGGGAATTAAAATCTCGACTAAGGCCGTTCTCATCTCTCGATGAAATCTCAAAAATTTCTGGATCGGAAGACATCGGAACATGGTCGATTGGGCCGGAATTAACTAAATTTGCCTAAAATCACTAATGAAATCGGTCAATTTTTTTAGCCAATCAGATAATTCGGTAAACTCATCAAGGTGTAGACCAAAATTCAGCGGATCGACCCAAAATTCCGGGTCGGAATTCATCTGAGTTAGTTGGTATTAAGCAATAATGCTGGTTAACACATCTGGGCAACTTTACTTAATGAGTGGCCTATGATTTTTTAGAAAGTTTCTTAGTGATTTCGGGCAATGCCGATCCAGTCCGCTGAATTTTGGTTGCGCCACTAATCTACTCCTCATCAAGGGGAATTTTTTACAGGACAATTCCCAGATTTCTGGATCGGGGTCATAGTTAACTATACGTACTATTTAATTAACAATGCCTATAGCAAAATTATCAGGCGGGCATTTTTACTGATGGGCTATGAGCTTGTCATTTAAGTCAAAAAAACCTGGAGCTGCGACCACCAATTTTTGTTCATAGAGCTGTGAAATTTAAAATCGCATTTTGCTCAATAAATTTTCTACGTACAAGGAGCACTTCAATTACCACTTCAATTAATCGCAATGATTGGAGTTGCTTGAGAACAACCTTTGTTATTTCAGTTATAAAAATTGGATTATTCATTTAAGGAGATCCGATTTTGTGACTCCCATCCCTATTTGTAAAGGAGAGGGTCTTGTATTTGGAGATAAATAAACTAACAATATATATAAGATGAAGGGGGTGTCATGGCGAAGATAAAGGGTAATGGTAGATCGAATTTTGCTATCCATTTATCCTTTATCCATTGATTGGAATCGAACGATTTTATACAATTCTTCTCTTTGAGAAGAATTGAATGGATAAATTCTTTCGATTCAAATCAATAGATAAAGGATATGGATAGTGAAATATTTTTCTTATCTCATCTTCGCTACGATACTCTCTTTACCTTATACGTACTGTATACAGTCGACTTTTTATAAATGCACCCCTATATGTATATACTATTTAAATTCTCCTTAAAGTTCTCCTTAAGTGCTGATTGTCTTTTGGTCCATATATAAAACAATATGTATTTTATTCTCTATACATATCTATAAAGTGCAGATATTTTTCATATGGTCTCGACGCGATGCATTTAGAAAGAATAATAAATTATAGCAATAATATGTAGTTTGTTTTAGGGTTACTACATGACTATTTATTACGAAACCATTTTCCCATCACGTTGATAGTTGAAATTATCTTTCTACAGTTTGATAATTAAGTTTCTACAGTTTCTCCTATAATTAAAAATTTATTTGACGAAAGTCGAAACAAATTTCGAACTTTCGTAACGTCGAAGCCTATACACGTGACCATATCATGTTAGTTTCTCTCAATTATTAACGTTAATGTGATTAAGATTAAAATCTATTTCTTTATAACGATAATAATCATACAGGCTAATTTTTTTGGTGATTTTTAAAAGTTATCCAATCATTTAAGTGATATTATGTAATTGCCATATCGATATAAAAGTATAATAAAATTGAATTATATGATTGAATTTGATTGGCTAATTGCTTTTCTTTGCTTATGAAACCCTTATGATAACGAATTTTATTATCGTTATGCTTATGAACCTAACGATTTTATTAGTATCATTATGATCCTGTGATCGAAGATTTACTAGTTCTATTAAAGAAATGAAGTCAAAAAAACGATAACGATAACGTATTATGTTACCGCAATTACGTACATTATAAGTCGTTATTCATGAGAAATCAAATTCTTCAGTGAATCTATTTACAGGTTTCCCTGACCTTACTCAAATGATATTCAAAAATTCTAATATCAGATAAAAATATCTTCAGGTAGAAATCCGAAAAGTAAAATATTCTTTAAATCGACTTTGTTATTTTATTTTTTGTTAAAGTGATTTGTCATATTTATTTACAACAATTAATTCGTCCCACGAAAACTGCCAACCAATTCTAGTTGTTATGCTAAGAAAATATTGAACCGATAACGCATTTGAACTGAAGGCTATGAATTGTAAATATTTTTGATAACAAAAACAACATACAAATACGGCACCTATAATTATGAAATGAATGTCCGCAAAATTTCGAAAGCCGCGTTTTTGAAATCATAAATAAAGTGAACGATTATAATTAAGAACAAAAAATTCTAAAATCCAAATTTTCATAAAAAAAAGCCATAATAATTAGTATTCTCGATGGCAAATAATGTGTACAAATTCAACCAATTTCGAGTTTTTTTTTTTTTTTAATTATTCAAAGGCAACTAAACCGTCTGTTCTTCATAAATTTAAGATTATACAGTATAATCGGCCGTCTTCAAAATTCATACTACTGTAAATGTTGACCGATGCGCAAACATACATAAACCACAATTATGATCATAAATATTTACATAAAAGTTTGAAATTCTTCGGTCCTCTTGGATAAACAATCCAAATATTGTCGATAAATATTATTAAATCTTTCCGCGTATTCCCATATAAATGCAAATTCTATTATATAATATATAAATGTTTAGAAGTTATATAATTCAATAAATAAGAAACAAACATTATTACATACCATGCACAGTCTGCCCGAATTTTACCCATCCATAGACACAATTCCAATCACCAATTGTAACAAGAGCACCTTGGTCAAGGCCCCATTCGACCAATATATGACAATCGTCTTTGGTTAAGAGCTCATCATCCTCCGTTCTACATTCTCCGACAATCGCAAGTAATTTTAATTTCGGAAAAATTGCTGACGTAAATGAATTGATCATATTATTACCAAATCCTATACAATCACGAAATTTAATTTTTTCAAGATTTTTACATTCAAAAAGGTCATTCCATGGCATATTCTCAGTGAAGGTAACATCTAATAAATTAATACTACGCAATGATTTAGATTGGGATGGTAATGCAGGAAGTAAAGCTGATAGTAACACGTTGCCAAGTTTGAGAGATTTGAGTCGAGTTTGGGATTCGATTATTTTTTGTAAAGACGTTGATTCATCTTTGTAATTAGGATTTCGAGAGGAATTTGATAGATAGACGAATAATTTATCCTTTAAGAAAAATTTACAAAATTTTTTTAAAAAAAATTTCTTTTAATGTTTGTGTAACCTTGCAACATTCGACACGAAAAATGCCGGTGTGGTTTCACAAATACCAAAATTGTTAACACAATAACTTAATGCATACCAGGTTTTTGCATGGTTCGGATAGGCCGTTCAAAATACGATCCTTAACAAAATTTCCCTTAATTCTCAATTTACGCACTGGTTCAAGTAAAACTTGAAATTCATCTTCAATAATTCTTCGATATTTCAAGTCAGTAGTAGTTTTTTCAAACCATTCTCCAAGTACAAGATGCAGTAAAATTACCGAACGAGTTAAAAATAACCTAAGTAATGCTCGCATTAGCAATACTCTGGCATTATAGAGTTCTTGATCAGTACAACTACACCAAAGGTCAACCGAACCACAAAATCTATCATAGTCCAATCGTTTTAACATTGCCGCGTACGGAAATGTTGAGCGCCGATAACGTGGCGATCTTTTGAGAATAAAACCTTTGGATGTAAGTTCGTTACGTTCATCGGTGTTGAAGCAAGAGATATAAGTATCTATTAATTTGGAACTTCCGAGAGTGCAATAATAGAATGAATTTCGCCAGAGGATAGGAACAGCTGCTTGACACCATTGCCTATTTACTAAAAGGCATGAGTGTAGGCTTCGACGAGCGCCACGATCATATATATTTGGATTCTTGCCAGCCTTACGAACGTATATAAATATAATCCGGAGAACATCTAACGGAAGTTCCGACGCGAGCGGAGATTTTGACTCCATTCTGTATGGTATATGTAGGATTCGAAGTTTTTGATGTTGAAATGGTAGAGAGTTGAGTTGAGAAAAATTGAACAAATTTATACTGGTGCCATATTTATAAAAAATTGAAAATCATTAGTGTAACAATGCAATAGCGAGTGTAATGATTGGCTTCATCAACCAGATCATCATTTTCATAAATATTGTCATTTTCTTTTTGTAAAAGCCAAGATTAGTTGACTTAATAGTTATATTCTTTCAGTTTTGAACGTTTTCTTCTTTATAACTATGCTATTCAACGAATAAATTCAATTATATAAGCATCATGATTTTTTGCTCGCGTACAAGTGAATCAATTGTGATAATATCAATTATAGAATCACGTGACACACAGTAGCCCCCCCCCCCCGTTAATTTATCATTTCTCCGATACGTATTTACTTAAACTTTTTACACAAACGGTTTGACCAATAAACTGATTAGACTTTTTCATTAAAAACAATTCCAATTTCTGGTATTGATATAGTTCTTTATTAAACGCAAATGTATAATAATTCAAGTGCGTAATATCAGGTTCTTGCATTCATGGATAAAAAACATAATAAAATAATGCATAATTTCCAAGGATACACAATATTAATAGAAATTCCTTTGTCGATTATCATGTGTTATTAATAATGTTCCTCGATAAGTTAATAATGTTAGCCAGAATTAACTACCACCACATTTTTATTTATTTTGACGATCTTTGTGTCGTGCTATCTAGATGCATTAAAAGATTATGTTGGTGACACCACGCGAGTTTAACAAAAATCATTAATGCAATACGTACTATATTTACGATTTTTTCTGCCTTATATGCTAGTCAGGCAGTTATAAAAAAAAAACAACAACACCAATTATACATTACAAATAAATATTTTGTAATTGGTCTTGCAAGTTAATTTTTTGCTCTTGTATCATATTTTAAAATCGTTCCACCAAACACAACCTTTAATTATTAAAAGAACGTAAAAATTTATATATGGGGTGCCAGTAGAAACCAAGCAAATTGTTTTTAGTGAGTTTTTTTAATTAAAATATCTCAACGACTATTAAACCAAACTTAGGTAAATTTTTTTTTATTTTAATTCTATAACTATATAGAATTAAGTTAAAAAAATTTTTATTAAGTTTAGTTCAATAATTGTTGATATATTTTACTTTAAAGTTTAAAAAAATTTACTTAGAAACAATTTGCTTGGTTTCTACTGGCACCCCCCATATCTATTCGGGTCATGAGAATAAATTAACCTCATTCTGTATAAAGTCCTAGCGTTACCAACCTAAAAATTTCTCTGTTAGGTTAGGATTAGTTGTTTTAAAGGTTTGAGAGCCTAGTAATATCAAAATTACGCGAGGAAAACTTTTATTAATGTGCAGAAGGCAGTTTCGTATGCAAAATCTTAAAGAATGATTTTTGATTATTTTGCGTGTTTTGATCTTGAAATTAGGGATTGGAACCGCCTAGAATTTCTTTAATCGTTTAACCGTTTAATCGTATTAACCGTTTAACTCGGCTGGCATTAAGATAACCTTGGCCCATGATCAACATAATTCGGCCCGAAATTATGGAAAATTTTTATGGGTTAAACGGTTCCAATCCCTACTTAAATTTGATTGACAGAGAAATTTTTTAGAGTGATAGCGCTAGTAGCAAGCTTGCCAAAACAATAGTCTTGCTAAGCTTGCCAGTATGAAATCCTCTTATTAATAAATTTCAGTACAATTGATTAATAAAAAAAATTGAAAGGATTATTCGATACAACCTACTTATCCGGGTGTCCTACACTTAACTATCGGAGTACAAAAAATTTGATTACCGTTCGCCACTGTATATAATACCCGGGTACTGATCATGAATCCAGCAATTTGATTGGTTAAGAAGGGTGCTTTAGGGGTGCCCCACCACTTCACTATCGGAGTAGAAAAAATTTGATTAATAATACAAATACTCCACTAAGTGAATAATTAGTACAGCCAATTAGAAGTGGTGGGGTAAATTAGTAAATTCCTTTAGGGAGTACCGGTACTATATACAGTGGTGAACGGTAATACTTCGATAAGTGAATAATTACCGGTAGTACAGCCAATTAGATGTGAAGTAAATTAGTAAATTTACATAAGGTAGGGTATTATGACGCACTTAAGAGTTGCTTATATAAAAATTACCAGAAAAAATATATTTATTCTTGAAATATATTTAAATAGATTACTTATCGAATTAACTATTGCCAATAAAAAAAAAATTACCTTTTTAAAAAAAAAGTTGAAATATGAACTTTCAAAATCTACTCAAAAAATTCTATGCTTTTTACATTTGGGGGGTATTATAGCGCACATCGGATATATCGAATTAATATCGGAAATCATTGTATTACAAAATTGCATACAGATAAGTACAACACAGCATAACTACATATGATTATCTTTTTTATGTAACCTTTTTTCTTTTTTTCACTTATTTTCAGATTTTTTTTTCTTTTTTTTTAGCTTTCTAGTTAGTTCATTTTTGGGCTGCCTTTTCTTTTCTTTATTTTGTACTTTCTGCTTTGCTTTTTACTAACTTATTTATTTTTTTTAATATTTGTAAAGATTTTTCATTTCTAAAAAGTCAAGTAAAAAGAAAAGTTTTTCTTTTTTTTGGCTAATTAGATTCTAATTTATTTGTTTGTATCAGAACTTAAGAAGTAGAATATTTAAAAGCTAGTTTTAATAAGCAAATACTAAGATTTTTAAGTATTTTATATTTTTTTTTGTAATATTTTTTTTTTTTTAGAGTATAAACTTTTGCTTCTAATAATTTATTCTTTCTAGTAATATTAGTATATATAAAATAGCTTAAAAAAAATAGTATAGAAGAAAACAGTATAGAAGAATAATTATTTTGTTGAGAGAAAGAAGATAAAATATTAATTTATTTAGTAGATAAGGAAGAATAAAAATAATAGAGACTAGTAGTATTAGTGTTAAAAGACTAAATTCTTATAATTTTAAAAATATTAGTTATTTTTTTTTTGTTATTAAGACTACTTTTTTAGCTAATTAGATTTTATTAATTTGTTATTATGAAGTTACTATAATAGTAATTTTTTAAGGTTTTATAGTATACAATAAACTATATATACAATTTTAGTTATTGTCTAATTTATATCAACTCTTCCTGTTGATCCTCTAACTACTTTTTTCTGAAAAGAAAATCTAACCTACGAAAATACTTTTTTATTATACAGATAACAATATTCTTTTCTAAGTATTCTATGATGTATTATGGGCAAATACCTTCCTTGCAAGCTCTTTTTAGTCACATTATCTAGAAGTAATTCTTGGGTACTATTGAAAAAGTAGTAGCAGAAGCAAAAAAAATTATCAAATATCTCTGTTATTTTAAGTAACGCTCACTAGTAGCCTGCTAGCATAGGGATAGCTAGATATAACATATATTTGTACTGTTTAATAAGAAAACAAGTAGCAAAATCTTACTTTCTTAAAAGTAGCCTCCTACAACTTCATCTTTTGGATTTTTTTTCTAAATCACTTGGTGTATTTTAGAGAATTTGGTTTATCTCCTCCAAAAGATCTGCAACACACATTAACAAACACAATTGGATATTAGTTTGTTGTTTCTCATACCATATATAAACAACAAACATGTGTTAAGCCTAACATGTACCATAAGAAATCTGTGTTGATGATATTCTCTCTATAAGATAGTACTTTACTCTCTTGAGAATTTAAAGAATAACTTAGATGTTATATATACACAATTTTTATCTGATTTCCTACTTTGGTAGTAAAACTTTACTTTTTTTGTTTTTTTTTCTTTATCTGTTTGTTGTGTAGAAGTTTTTTTCTATTAGCAGGTTTCTTCTACTCAACTATATTATATGACATGTGACCTTTGTATATTTCATTAAATATATAATTTTAATTTATCCTTTTTGCTATACGAGAAACTATTATTAGTTTGGTAGTAGTCTATTATATAGGTAAGAAGTCATGATAGGCTGCGATATCTACTCAGAGATTTGTTATTATTTTTTTGAAAGATTAGATAGTAATAATAAGAGAAAAGACTCGTTGTAGCAGATTGTACATAGGTATCTTTAGAGTAACTAGGTGAGTTAATACTTAAAAAATTGTATAGTTAGATATATTTTGAGTAAATATGTATTCTAATATTTTTGTTAAGTACAAAATTTATTGCAAATAAAGTATTGGCATGACTTGCT